CAAAAATTCAACGCACAGCTATCTCATCCTAATTTTTACATAATTTATCCTACAAACTGCGGACTTGTATCGTTAATTTTGACAAAGCAGTAAGCAGATATGAAATCAACGTTTGAAACCGCAATTTATGATAGAAGACATGTTTCAAACCATCGACGCGTGCCTTGTATGAAAGATTCTCAAAAATTATATTTGCGAAGGGAAAATCTTAGCCCTTTAGCAGCTCTCTGGTGCCAAGTAGAACACTGTCTCCACAAATGCTGACAAGTTCGGACTCCTCATTTTCAAAAAGGTTAATTGTTTGAATTCTAAAAAATAGATTCTCTATAACAACGTCCCTTCAACAATAACTCCATCAAAAAATGATTTTTAAAAAAACAAAGTTTATTTGCAATTTCATTATTCATGACTAGCGTAAAATTCCACACATCTATCCAATATCAACAAATTAAGGACTTCTCGATTCATAAAATACCTAATTACAACCAAAGCTAGATTTCCTAAAATAAACTTATCAACAATTATTGTAAAGTCCCCAATCTGCCGAACGAAAACGAGATAATAACACTACTTTTGGAAAATAAACGCTCAAATCCACACAGAATGATGTCTAGAAAAAAATTTAATACAAAGGCAGGTACACAATGAGAAGATTAAAAATACAGATGACAAAACCCGTATCATCTATCAGCGGAGGTTAAAATTGGTCGGCAATTTAAAAGAAAAATTTTGATTTCAAGCGATTTGTAGCATTTTTTTACACGTATGTCATCGAGTGAACATTTGGAGCTTGTGAAAGTACATAACCAGGCATTCGATTGACATCGTCAGATCTGAAAAGGATAGCTATGCTCCAAGGCTAAATCTAAGGGTGGGTAAAGAGTGATGATATGCATTCGCAAACAATCGACATGACGTATCAGCAGCGCTATAAATTTCTAGTAGTTGAGGGCATCTTTTAAGGTAATCTTTTTTCAAATCTACTTATTAGAATCTAAAAGTTTAGAAACAATTAAAAGGAAGCTGATAAGAGATGGAATCTTTAAAAGTGTGGTTGGACACAATTGCAACATGTCAATTGTCTGTGTGCATGCGAAGC